TATTAATACGTTGTCCATAACTCTTTGAAATGTGGCAGGGGCATTTTTTAAACCAAAGGGCATACGGTTAAATTCGTAATGTCCATTTTCTACATTGAAAGCTGTTTTGCTTATTGAGTTTGGATGCATTTCAACTTGGTGAAATCCAGAAGCTAAGTCTAGAGTAGTAAAATAATTACTTCTTCCAAGTCTGTCGAGAATGTCTGTTATCTTTGGTAATGGGTATCGATCGTCTATCGTTTTTTCATTGATTTTTCTATAATCTACGACTATTCGCCATTTCTTTATGCCTGAAGCATCTAACTTTTTAGGTACAAACCAGACAGGGGATGACCAGGGACTACATGGTGGTCGAATAATGTTATCTTCTAACATTTTCTGGATTTGTTTATTCACCACTTGTTTATGAATATGTGGGTATCTATACGTCTTTGTGTGAACTGGGATTTCGTCTTTTGTCTTAATTTCGTGTTTAACTTGATTTGTGAATGATAGCTTATCATTTGATTTGTGAAAGACTTTAGGAAACGAATTTACAAGTTTTTGTAAAGCTTTTACTTCTTCTGAGTTTAAATGATCAGTTCTGAAAAGGTTTAGGGACGTTTTCTTATAAGGTTTGTCTTTATAATCATTAGTGTTTTGGGTAATTATCTGTTCTGCGTTGAACAATTGATAATTTTCTTCTTCAAAAGGTTCACATATTTCTTGAATATCATCAATATGACAATCTAATGTGAGGATTTTGTCTTTTAAATTATAAACATCAAGTGGTATTTTACCATTTTTAATTGTATTAATAGTTGATGGAATAAAATAATTTTCATCTTCTACAATGTCAGTTATTATTTTAGTTCCGTCTGGAATTCTTGTGAGAAATTCACATTTTTGAACTGTGTTAGGGGAAATTCCGATAGTTTGATTTTCAAAGTCACTTCTAAATTGAAATGGTATAGAGCTTTGATTCCTATAATTCCAACGAAATAATCATGGAATGAATACATGAGCATTTCTACTTCATTTATGTCATATTCTTGTAAAATTGGAATTTTAAGTTTTCCTTTCATTATTGTGGTTGTTCCCGTACATGTGGATAGTTTAGATTTTGTATTAGTAATGTACTGATTAAAGTATTTTTCAGCTATGGAAGGTCTTATTAGTGAGGCATGACTTCCGGTATCAATTAATAATTTACAAGGTGGAAATTGAATTTCTATGAAAGGTAATTGATTAATTTGGAATTCATTTAAAGTTAATACTGATCCGAGGCTTTTAAACAAAAATTTTCGTATTCATCAATTTGTTGTTCATCAGGATTTTCAAAATCTTGATATTCATATTCACTTTGATTTTCTTGGTTTTCACCAGAAGAAAGGTCAATTTCTTCTTCAAAATTTTCATTTTCTGAAAAATCTTGTTCAACTGGAATTAATTGTAAAATATTATTTTCTTCTTTAATTGTGTATTGAACAGGTCTTTTTTGGAAATTTTGTTTAAATGCGTGAGTGCGAGGTTGCACTGAAATTCCGGACATAGGTGTCGGTTTTGGAAATTGCTGGTTTGTATTTTTCTTAAATACATTGGATTGTTTATTATAGTTTTTTCCAAAAGTTTGTGAACTAGTTGGGAATTTCTGTTGATAATTCGCTCTTGGCTGAATGTTTATAGGTTGTGAGGGAAATTGTGATTGTTGAAATTGTTTCTGTGGAAACTGTGTTTGCACAAATTGTCTTTTAGGGAATTGTGTTTTCTGTTTTGAATTAGTGTATGAAGTGTGTGTAGTATTATTTTTATTAATTGAATTATTAAATTTCATATGGTTTTGAGCTAATTGATAATTTAATACGCAACCTGTAGCTGCATCTAAAGCTAGTGGATTTTGCACCATTAAAATTGTTCTTAATTCAACAGGAGAGTTTGTGACTAAATTTTGGATTGCCATTATTTCATTTTGGTCTACCAAAACATTTGCCACTGCAACTAAATTTTGATCACTCATTATCTTAGAAGTTATTCTATGATTTAAAATTTTTAATCTCTCTAAATAATCAAAAATATTCTCTTTAATATTTCGAGTAGTATACATTAATTCTTGTACTAAGTTTTGTCTAGAATATGGGTCTCCATATTTTAATCTTAAAGCGTTCTTTATATCAATCCATGATTTTAAGTCAGGAGGTGACATAATAAGGAAGTTTCCTGCTTCATTGATTAATTTTGATTTAATCGCTGTTATAACATATTCTTTATGTGCATTTTCGCCAGTATAATATGTAGTATAAAATTCTTCGATATTACTAATAAAATATTCTAAGTATTGTTTTTCGCCACCAAAAGGCTTAAGTAATTGTACAACAGATTTCAAATTATCACCCATGGTTCTTGGTTGATGATTATTATTTCTTAACGAATTATTAGAACTTGGATTATATAAATGAGTTAAGTTAAATTGGGTTAAGAGGTCCTGTATTTCCTCTTCAAAATCTGACATGTATTTTTTGAATTATATGCTTATTCATAGATAGAAAAATTTAAAAAAAAAATACTTTCTCCAAAAATTTATTATTTTTTCTGAAAATTAAAAAAATTGGAAAAAATTATTTATAATAGAAAATTAAGAATAGTTTTCTCAAAAAAATCTATTATTATTATTATTATTATTTTTGAAAATTAAAAATCAAAAAAATTCAAAAATTCAAAAAATTTATGGAAATAGCTAAATCGTATTCAGTTATCAATTATATTTTTAAAATGAATTATTCATTTAATCGTTAATAATATTTTTAAAATAATTACTTAGTTATCAATTATAATATGTTTCCTTTAAATTACGTATTTATTTAATCGTTAATTATATTTTTAAAATTAAATTCTACTTTTTAAAATTATTCATTTAATCTAACTTTTACTTTCTTAAAATTAAAAAAATCGAAAAAATTCAAAATTAGAATTTTTATGTTTCGCTTAAAATTAAAAATCAAAAAAAAATTAGAAATTTAATTTTTTTTCTTTAAAGATTCAAAATTGAAGCCTCTAAATCAATTATTCAACTTCATAACTTTAATTTAGTGCGTAATTCACAATTTAGTGCATAAGCTTTAAAGTTAAATTTATTAATTTCTATGGAAGCGTTTATACATCTATTTAATGCTCAATTCATAATTTAGTTCATAATGGATAACCTTAAAAGTTCCCAACTTTTAACTTTTATGCATTAAATTATGAAAAAACTGGAACTTTCAAGTTCTGTCAGTGTCAAATTTCGAAATATCAATAGAATATTAAAGACATTTCAAAAATTATGTATTAAATTATGAAGTTGTTTAAACTGGAATTTTGAGTTATGGATTAAATTACGCATTAAATTATGAAGAAATTACGACCTAAATTAATCAAAAGTTGTTTAAATCCGCCTTAATATCAATCAGTTTCTTGAAAATTGAAGATAAAATATTAAAAATTTGGATTTTTTTTTTCTCTAAAACATTTAGAAATTGAAGTTTTTAATTAATTATTCAGTTTCTTGAAGTTTAAAAATTAAAAATTGGTAATTTTGTTTTTTTCCTTGAAAAATTTCCAAGTCCAAAATCAATCAGTTTCTCGAAAATTGAAAATAAAAAATGAAAAAATTGGAATTTTTTTCTCTAAAACTTTTAGAAATTAAAGTTTTTTAACTAATTATTCAGTTTCCTGAAGATTAAAAATTAAAATTGGAAATTTATTTTTTTCGTAAAAAATCAAAAATTAAAGTCTTAAATTTATTATTCAGTCTCGTAGGTTACTTGCTTAATAGTTATTTATACACCAAGTGAGTTAAATGAATGTTTATTCATGAGAAGAAAGTTTAACTCACGAGCCCTTTTTAAAAAATAAAGTAAAAAGAAAAATGTCGCGAGTGAGTTAAAAATATTTTAAATCACTGAGGTTTCAGATTTTTAGTTGGGCAGAGTGACTTAAAATGCCAGGATTGAGTTAAAATGTTTTTAAATCACTGAGGTGATAAACGTCTACTTACCTTTATTGTTATGCGTTCAATAATGTCATTTTTAAACGTCAAAATGGGATAAAATTATTTTATTTGTATTTGGTCTCAATGCCAAAACAAATTGAAATTGAAAAATTTTTTATGATAAAAAAACTCAAAAAAAAAGAAATTTTTGAAAAGAACTTAATTATGAAACACCAATTACAAAATACAATTTATAGGAAAAGGGATTACTTACAATGCACGATGATTGAAACTGTATCACTTTAACTTTGTACGTTGGATCTTGTTGTTTCTTTTCTTCAGTAAATTTTTTCAAAAAGTGGAACGAATTGGATTAAACTTTTTCGAAAATTCAATCTCTGGACTCTATAGCACTCTGAAGAACATCTGAACCGAACTGCGCCAATTATATTTTCGATTCAGAAACTTGTATTTTTAAAAAACATTTATTTTATTAATTAAAATACAATAGTGACAATCGAGAAATATGTGGATCAAATTGCTACAGGGAGTGCCTGAAAACAAATGAACACTCCTTACGGGAAAGCTCTGGCTTAAATAATAAATATTTGCTGATCCAAGCATTTTCCTAGGCAGGTGGTGGTACTACCAGTGCAGTACCGCTGATTAAGCAGTTTTATATATTAATTATAATTAACATATGAAAGGAGAATTATTAGTATAAAGATAACATAGGGTCTTACAATATAACTTCTTTTTTTCTTCTTACATATAAAAACTATTATAAACACATGTCAAAATGGGATAAAGGTAGAATGATTATGGAAGAGCAACCTCCCTCATCTGCGAACCCGCATTAAACGCGTTTTTATTTACAATATAGGCATCATAGTCGTACCTATATTCTTACTAAACTTAAAAATTACCTTTAACCTCATTTGTTTTGGTTTTTTTTTTCGACATTTTCTGTATTGATTCAATCAATGGTGTGAATATTCTTATAAATATAGACCATTCTTATAACGCAAATTACAAATTTCTATTTTGCTTTCAGATATTTGGACATCATTAATGTAATGACATACGACTTCTACGGCTCCTGGAGCAAAACGACTGGTCAAAATTCCCCGCTTTATTCTTCCTCATTAGACAGTGCATACGAAAGGAAATATTTGAATATCAATGCTTCAATAAACAATTGGGTATTTATAAATAATTTGCTTTTAAGTTTGAATGTATTATTTTTATATTGATTATAGGTGGATGCTGGTGCGCCAAAAAACATTCTAGCAATGGGTTTACCGTTTTATGGAAGAACTTTTACATTGAAAAATGCTTCAGATCATGGTATTCATGCTCCTAGCTCTGGCGGAGGTAGACCTTTGGCTCCAACCTATTACCAGGTTAAGATATTTAGTATTATCTTCTTTTAAATAAAACTAATATTGGTTGCCATTTATTGTAGATTTTGTCGAATTACCAAAATTTCACTACAGAATGGAATGAAGAACAGAAAGCTCCTTACAAGTATTCTGGCACGACCTGGTTAGGTTATGAAGATGAGCGATCGATTATAATGAAGGTAAAATATGCCTTGGAGGAACAATTATTTGGAGTGTTCGTATGGCAACTTGGTGGAGATGACATCACTGGGGAGTCGTCTTATAAAAAACAACCTTTGCTTCAAGCAATTTTTGATACTTTATCATAGGTTGAAAATTTTAAATATTTTTTGAATTAATTTTAGGTTAAATACGCTGTGGACAATCAACTTTTCGGAGTGTTCCTCTGGCACTTAGGATGTGATGACGTTCATGGTGAATTTTCCGATAAAAAGCAAACATTAGTACAGACCATAAACGATGCTTAGGTACATTAATTAAGCAACTCAATAAACTGTATACTCATAATTGAAATTTTATTAATGTTATTCATAGTACAATCCAAAACAACATGCAATACCATACACGTGAGTGTTTTCCATTGAGAAGTAGGAATACCGATCTTTTTCAGAGTCCCATAAAAATCTACATGTCGCGTAGACGTCTTGGGAGTTTTTTTCGCCTATTGTCACCATACAGACCAATTTGTATCTATAAAAAAATAATAGATTAAGAGTTATCGTGACTGACTAGTATAGAAAGCAAACTAGTGAAAATTTTCTAAATGAATATCTTTCTCGGGGGGTTGCAGTGAAATCCTTACGGACCAGGGACAAAAATTAAAACATTTTGTTGCTTTATCAAGCCTTCTTCAGGACAGCCTAAAAGTTGTACAATATTTTATTTGACAATGTGATGAGATAATAAATTACAAGACTTGTGACTTCGTTCTACTTAAAAAAGAAAAAAGTATCCTAGGGGACCAGAAATATCCAAAAAACACATAGATGTGAGTGGCGAAAATTTCACCCTGTTTGGTCAATTATATAAAATTCATGGGCAGGTTGCTTCAATCCAAAAACATACCTACCGGACCCTATAAGCAAGAAAAGAAGTGAGCACATTCACTGTGCTGTTTCCGAGGTTATTAATAATTACAAAATTGTATTCTCCTTATTAACATTGATTTTAAACAAAATGGAGCGAGTGGCTTCACTCGCTCGGTTACAACAAAGAAAAATCTAATAAAACGCAATGTCAGTAACAAAAAAAATTAAACATAGAAACGACAAACCAATTGTTAAACAAATTTAGTTTAGGTGTATGCCTATAGGTGAACCTAGTTAGTTATTTTTCTTTTTTAACAATTTATTCACCAGAGAACTGCAGTCAACCCTCGTTGATATCAAGATTAGGCGGAAGGTGGCAACATCCACCAAAAAACAAAAACAAAACAAACCAAAATCATGGCAACCACTGTGAACCAACCATAAGACACCAAGTCTTCATGAACAGTAACACATCAATTAATCCTTTGCTACATGTTTTGATTCTTTAGCTAAAAAATTGAATAATCAATTCGACGGAGAGACAGTATCTTTGTGTAGTTTGAGGAGATGTGAATAGATGTTGCTGTGAGTTTGTATCTCTGTCCTTCTGTTCATTGCGTTGGGTTCATTGTGAATGTGGACTATTTCTGAGAAAATTCTTTCGTAATAATTATTTTCAGTAGTTAGAATCTCAGCATCAACAAAGTTAGGTTGGTGGTTTGTCTCAGAGAGGGCACTCGAGGGGACTTCCCTCCTTCAGTCACTTTTATGTGATGTGAGTCGGCCTTCCAAGTTTCTGGAAGTTTGACCAATAGGTTGTGGCAACTGTGATCTAAAATAGATTGGCCAAACTTCCAGGAACTTGAAAGGCCGAAACACGTCACATAAATGTGAATGTAGAAGGGAAGTCCAATCGAGTGCCCACTCTGAGCATACAACGGAGACAAACCAACAACCTAACTTTGTTGACGCTGAGATTCTAACCACTGAAAACAATTATGACGAAAGAATTTTCTTAGAAATGGTCCATATTCACAATGAACCCAATGCAAAAATCACAAAATTGATACAATCACAATCTGTGCAAAATACAATCGTCAACTTAGGAACACAATGGCGCTTCATTCCACCTGCAGCCCCACATTTCGGAGGACTATGGGAGGCAGGTGTAAAATCTATGAAGCACCATCTTGAGAGAGTTATTGGAGACTGCACTTTGACCTATGAAGAATTAACAACGTTGGTGTATCAAATCGAAGCATGTTTGAACTCAAGACCACTCTACCCGCTAACAAGACACAGATGATTTCAACATCTTGACCCCAGGACACTTTCTCATAGGAAGAGAACTTCTAGCTCCACCAAAACTTAGAATCGACAGAACATTTTAACCTATCTCAACGATGGAGACACGTGCAAAAGTTAAAGAAAAATATTTGGAGCGCATGGTGCACAGAATACCTCACCAGACTGCAGCAAAGATATAAATGGAAGTATCAGACCAACAATATACGAGTAGGAATAATGGTCCTATTCAAAGAAGAAAATATAAACCCAAACCAATGGCCTTTGGGGAGAATTATAGAAACTCACCAGGGTCAAGATGGAGCAATCCGACAATCCGAGTGGTAACAATAAAAAAAGCAGGACCGATCCACAAGTTAATCCCATTACCGACAGAAGACATACACAATTTACCAACCACCCAAAACCACTCATCAGAGGTACGGAGATCAGACCGACTACGGAACGTAGCATCAACATCAGCAAAATCATATGTATTGTTTTTCCTAGCAGCCATAATTATGATGATTACAACCGCCGCTGCAGAAACAGGGTTTAAAATCGACTATCCACAACATGGTTTTTACGTTGAACACCTTGGATCAGCAAAAATTGATAGAGGGATTTTCAGGATAGAGACAACGTATCCTAAGAACAAAACTGAAACGGAATTATCAGAGGTATCCACAGTCGTCAGCCAATTCAAAAATATGTGCAACGGATCCAAGAAGCTCACCGATGAAGTCAAATGCACATCCCTCGTACAACACACAAGAAATGGAAAATCACTCCAAATGGATATTTGCTACTATGGCCGACATTCACCACTATTTGGAAAATTTTTGACTGCGGTTTTTGGAGTGAATGACGAAGTATTTCAAGATATCGAGGCAATGAACAACAATCAGGAAGAACTCATCAGAGCATCGAACTACCAAACAAAGTTCATGATCTCGGCCCTCACAAAATTCAACGAAACAGAAGCCAGAATCACGAACAAACTACAACATTTCCAGAAACGACTCAACGAAGGAATAGAAGCTATCAACAGCATGCAGAGTTGGTACTAGCAAATAGACACTAATGCCCTTAACATTCACCTATTGAGTGCATACCAAGTAGGTACCAACTTCATCAGCGAAACCAATGAGCACTATGATAAATTGCTGAACATCAACTTCAACAGGGGTACGATATATGACCAAGTTTCACCAGCATATATCAACGCCGTCATTCAAAAATCCAATCGGAAGCTCCCAAACAATCTAAAGATTATTTCGGCAGCAGTGTCCACAAGATTAATCACCAACAACACGCACCTAAAGGTGTGTGGATATTTTCCAATAGTTGACGGGACAGAATTCACCCTATTGAAGGCAACACCGATTCCACTCAGAATTGAGAATGAAACATACTGGGCACGTTGGACCTTCACGATGATTACACCGCCGTCGACTACAACAGTCAAACGTACTTTCAGCTCCATGAAAGCGACCTCCAACAGTGCATGCAGCCCTACCCACGCCAGCTCATCTGTTCTCCAGTTTCTGTTAGAAACATTGAATCTAATCCGTCCTGCGTCATCGACGAAATTTATGAACGACTGCAACCCAGACATTGTCACATACAACAACACAGGCTAAAAGGCATCCTCTGGAAACGACTATGTACAACGAATACATGGAGGTTCATCGCAGGATCGTCTACAACAATAGCGGTTATATGCAACGGCGAGCGGGAAGAGGTAGGAATAAAACATAACGGGAATAATTCAAATTTCTCAAGATTGCACCATCCAGACAAAACAGAACATTCTAAGTCCCATAAGAAGCGCAATCGTTCCAGTGCTAGGCAGCTATGTAAAAGCAGTACCCATAATCTTCAATGGTACTCTCCACAAACATCCACCGTCAGATATAGCCACCGAGCCTGTGTTTAGAGAATCCGATAGTTTTGGAGACCTAGTAAGAGAAGAAGAGGACCTCGGTTATCGACTTCATAACAAAGTATGGCGCAGTATTCATCACCACTCCGTAGCCACTAGCAGCATCACCACCATAGTCATCATTATACTAGTGATTGCAGGATGGCAAACAACAAAACTTTTCAACAGAAGGCGTCAAAAGCAGACAAAAGACCAACACCAAGACCAAAAAGAAGACATAGAGCTAATGTCTCTCCATTCTTCCAGTCTGGAGAGGCGGCAAAATGTTTAATTAAAACAATTAAACAGTGATTAACCTTCGCCGGCGTAATTTGACCGACTTCGTGTATTTATATTTTATTCAATATCACGGTCAGCTTGGTATATGAGATTTTAGTTAGTCACAATGTTTGGGTAATATAAAAATATCCAAACATTGTAAGTTGCATGCCAGCATGCATCTAAATAATTACGGTCACAGTGTTTTATAATTTTGCAGTTTTTGCCACGATTAGTTTATCAAAATTCAATATAAAAAGGGATGTAAGATTCGAAATAAATCAGTATTCATCTAGCTTTAAAAGGTGTTTTACTCAAATCGTTTCCTGTGCCCAAGCCTTCTTGGCCAACGCAGAGAGTGAGGCTGCTCTTTGACAGGAAACAATACAATCGTCCCGCTGCTCAACCAAGCCGAGTTGGGCAAGCGTAATCTGCGAGCACAGCTTGCACACCCGGTAATAAATTGAGAATCTCTAAACAGGTCATAAGACCAATGCTTACATATGGGGCCCCTGTCTGGAACATTATATTTAGAACTCAGAGGAACCGCCTTCAGTGGTTCCAAAACCGTATTCTCAGGGGAGTCCTGTCTGAATCCAGGTACGCCAGAATAAGGGACATGCATGCGCGAGCATGCATTCCTTATATCTTTGACTACGTGGACGAAGTCAGCGAGAAACTCTACAGATTTCAAATTCATAGTTCCCCACTCACGCGCAGCCTCACTGCGACTAGATTTGATCCAGACAACTCCATAGTGCACGGACCACCGTATAAGAATTTACCAATCTATTTTGAACCCCCTTGAATCCTGGTAAATTCTGACAAATCCTTCCAATCCTCATTCTCTGACATCCCCCACACACTTCCCTACCTGCATCCGATCCATTACCCATGATCCTTCGCGAGACTGACTAAGATGCACGCCGGTCAACCCCAATAAACCAACCTC